TTTTATCCTTTCTCTTATTGATGTGATGTATCACACTGATTTGCAAATACTGAACCACCTTTGCAACCTAGGGATAAATCCAACTTGATCGTGGTGAATGATTTTTTTAATGTATTGTTGGATTCAGTCTGTTAATATTTTGTTGAAGATTTTTACATCTATGCTCATCAGAGATATTGGCCTGTAGTTCTCTTTTCTTTTTGTTGTGTCTTTATCTTGTTTTGGTATCAGGGTAATGCTGGCCTAATAGGATGAATTTGGAAATTTTCCTTCCTCTTCTATTTTTTGGAAAAGTTTGAGAAGAATACATATTAACTCTTCTTTAAATGTTTAGGACACTGAGGTGGCTCAGTCAGTTAAGCATCTGTCTTCAGCCCAGGTCATGATCCCAGGGTCCTGGGATCAAGTCCCACATCGGGCTCCTCGCTCAGCAGGGAGCCTGCTTCTCCCTCTGCCTGCCGCTCCCCCTGCTTGTGTGCTCTCTCTCTCTCTTTCTGACAAATAAATAAATGAAATCTTAAAAAAAATAAATATTTGGTAAAATTCACCTATGAAGCTATCTGGTCCTGGACTTTTGTTTGTCGGGAGTTTTTTTGATTACTGATTCAATTTCTTTGTAGGTAATTGGTCTGTTCAAATTTTCTATCTCTTCCTGCTTCCTTTTTTGGTAGGTTATAGGTTTCTAGGAATTCAACCATTTCTCCTATGTTGTCCAGGAGACAGATTATTTTCTAGAGGAGACATATTTAGAAGTATACAAATTAAATATTGAAAACTAACAGAAGTGAAAAGTAGATGACATATTTATGATTAGGAATAACATATAGCATTTTTCCATTTAAAAACTACTCTGGAGATCACTTGTGGTGAGCAGAGTATAATGCACAAACTTGTCAAATCACTATGTTGTACACCTGAAACTAATATAACATTGTGTGTCAGGTACACTCAAAAAACCTCACAAAAAATAGTCTAGAGATTTGATCAAGATAGTGATAACTGCCTCCCCTTTCCACCTGAAATTCCCAGAAATGTGAGCAATTTTTCAGGAGGAAATTCATAATAGTGCTAGAAAACAGTTATATATGGGCAAGAATTTTCATAAAAGCTCTGAAAGAATGCAAAAAGAAGATCCCCAAACCTAAAACATACAGAAGAATGTTGCCTCCAGATCCCTCTTCCCACAGAAGCAACCAGCTCAATAATATGCCCTGTATGGTTTTTCTCACTTCCCCATCTCACTCACTCTCCCCACTCACTGGTTTCTGTTTCATGAAATCACCCCCTAGATAAACTAATTCTTACACTCCAGTTTTTGTTTCAAGGTTCTGATATCAGAGGAACTCCAACAGACAAGTTTTGGTGTTTTCCCAATATCTAGGGCCTCACTTGTAACTAACTCCCACCCTTCCTTTCTTCCTTCCTTCCTTCTTCCTTCCTTCCTTCCTCCCTTCCTCTTTCCCTCCCTCCCACCCTTCCTTTCTTCTGTCTCTCTCTCTCTCGCCCTCCCTCCTTCTCTCCTTCCCTCCCTCTCTCCCTGCTATCTTCCCTCCCCCACCCCTTTCCCTATCTCACTCTCTCTCCATATTTCACCCAGGATATTCACCATTAAACTCAGCACCACTGCTTCAAATCTATCTTTCCAACTTCTCACTCACCCTTGGGTGATGAAACTTGGGTTCATCCTTGACCTTCTCTTATCACATTTCACATATCTATGTAATTTTAACTCCAGTCATTTGAACTTATCAAGTTAACTGTCATCTTTCCATGTCCTGCCCACTGCTGTCATATTGTTTCAGGTCCTACAACCTCACGCATGGATATTCTAAAAGGTTTCAGACTGATATCCTGAGTTCCCCTCTCTCCCCTCTATAATTTATTACCCAGTCTTCCTGAAGCTCTGATCATAGTTCTACTCAAAAGGTTTCTGTGGTGTTATTGTCTATACTACAAAATAAAGCTCTCTACAACTTCATGTCAACCTACCTTTCCTCACAACTTCATTCATGTACCCCAAGAGCCATTCCAACTGAACTATACTCATCATTTACTCTAAAAGTGCCAGGACTTCCCAGTTCTGTGCCTTTGCTAACTCTGTTCTCTAATCCTGGAAAGCTCAGACTCATCTTTCACCTTATTCAAAACCTACTTTGGGTCAAATATCATTTCTTCCAAGACCTTCATTGATTCTCCCAAATAGCATCATTATCCCTTTTCTGATCTCCTATAGCACTTAAAGTGTACTTTTCTTGGCATTCTTATCAGTTGTTTTAAATTAAAGTATAATTTACATTAAAATATATAAATCTTAAACTTGATTAATTTATCACCCTTGTAATCATCCATTTGGGTCAAGATATAGAACACTTCCAGTATCCCAGAAGATTCTTTGTGCCCCCTTCCAGTCAAAATTCCCTTCAAAGGTTAATCTCTATTCTGAGATTGGGTTAGTTAATCTCAGATTAGTTTTGCCTGTTTTTGAACTTGATGTAAATGGAGTCACATAGTATGCACTCTTTTGCATCTGGCTTCTTTCACCCATCATGTCTCTGAGATTCATCCAGTCATGCATATCAATTGTATGTTCTTCTTTTACTGCATAGTATTCCATTGTAAGACTATACCACAATTTATTTAACCATTCTATTCTAAATGGACATTTCTCAGTGTTTTAGCTATTACAAATAAGGCTTCTATGGACATTTTGTACTTGTCTCTTGTTGGACACAGGTACTCATTTTTCATCTCAGGAAGAGAATTACTGGGTCATAGGGTATTTGAATGTTTATGTCTGGAAGTACGATCAAACATTTTTCTAAAGTGATTATACCAGCAACATAAGTTCCAGTAGCTCCACATCCTTATGAGCACTGTTATTGTCAGAGGTTTTTTTTGTTTTTATTTTTGTTTTGTTTGCTCTTCTGGTGGCTATGCTTTCATTTCTACATTAAATTACAACCACAAACAACAATATTTACAGAGCACTTAACAGACTGCAAACTTTTTAAATGTATAACATGTCAGTGCATATTCCCTATAGTTCTGTAAGTAAGCAGGGAGAATCCCATTATTATTCCTATTTTATAGATGAGAAAACAAAGGTTCAGAGAGGCTAAGCAGCTTGCCCAGGGCTATAAACTATGTAGCAGAGACTCTGCAGCTGGCATATCCATCAGGCTATAGGGCTTACAGTTATTTGGGTACATGTTTTATTTCTGCTAGTTTACTAACAGCTCTTTAAGGTTAGGCCTTATTTTTAATTTATCTCTATTTAATAAATGAATAAATGAACTTAAGTATAAAATTAAAATTTCTCCGTCTATACAGAAAACCTTTGCAATAATTGGTTTATAATAACATAATAAATAAGCACCATCGCTTACTACCTGAATCACAAAGGAGGGTATTTCAAGAACATAGATACACAAATATCCAAACAGTTAGCCCCATTTAATGACTTTCTTAAAATGTTGAAGGATTAAAAAAAATATTTTAGGGCGCCTGGGTGGCTCAGACAGTTAAGCGTCTGCCTTCGGCTCAGGTCATGATCCCAGGGTCCTGGGATCGAGTCCCGCATCGGGCTCCCTGCTCCTTGGGAGCCTGCTTCTCCCTCTGCTTCTCTCTCTCTCTCTCTCTCTGTCTCTCATGAATAAATAAATAAAATCTTTAAAAAAAAATTAAAAAAAATATTTTAATCTTCTCTCTGAAGGATTATTTTAAACTCATTTACTTCAACTATTAAGCACACCAAATGTATTGCAAATATTTGGGTTCCTAAATCAACTAGATTTCAGTTTTTTATTTTGTACATAGAACACAAAAAATTGTCACCTTTATATGTGAAGGTGACATGTACATATGTGACATATAGATATACATATTTCCTTATGTATTAGCTAACAAACATGCCATGGAATAGTAAAGAAAAGAAAAGAAATACCAATATAACTGTATACACATATGTCCTACATTCAGCAGCTTTGGGTAGTTTATTAAAAGATTATTTGATATTCTTTTATCACTGTTTCTTAGGATAGTTTGACCTCATTCAAAAGATTGCTATGAGTTGTCAATAAATCAGTGCCTATCTGTATCATCCAGCATGCGTTTAGAAGATACATGGCAAAGCTCAGTATTATCTGGTTACTTTTTATGCATTCAGAAAAAACAGGCAACACATTTGAGCTATCTGACATCCATGGATGCCCAGACCTTGATGTACTCTCTACATTTCAACCTTTTTTCAAGAACAATGTTGCACACACTCCTAAGTTGAAAGATGTACTATGGATATCTCATAGTATCTACTTTTGTCTCTGTATGCTCATCTTTTCAAACATGGTCATACCATCTTATGGGTCTCTAAAACATCCAAAAATTATTACTTTTGACCTCAGGACAATACAATTAAAAGTTTTTAAAATACATTTTTAAAGCAGAGATTATAATTACAAATTACAGACAACTGAACTCATAAAATATATTTTGACCTTCTGTATCAGATATTTCATGTCAAAACTGACTTTTGGTTTGAGTATTTATCTCTCTGAGGCCTAAGAATATCTTCTGCCTCTATCACTTAGCTCATGGGATGTGACACTGATGCATTCTAAGGTGACCACGAAATTCATTTAAAGCATGCTAGATATTAATAGCTCAAGCTTGTTGAAAAATACGATAAATTCATAGCATGCTTAAAGGTATCTGAAAATTGCTTATAATCACAGGATATGATCATATATATGAAAATGTGTTTAATACAAGTCTCTGTCTTATATTCAGGGCCAACTTTATTTCTAGAACAACAAAAAATGGCTATTCAAGTAAATCTATATTGAATCATTCAACAGTTTCCTCATGGAAAAGCATACTGTAGTTGTTTAACTATAGTCATTTACTTTTGGACTTGCTTCCTTTCAATTCCACCCCCCAAAATTCATTTTTCAAGTTCAGACATGACTGTCAAAATCATGTCCATCAGTAACAAATGAACATACCTTTCATGCATGTAGTCAACTCCTAGCAACAGCTGGATAAACCATTCTATTATTTGACTTTCCGGAAAGGTTTTGCCAGCTTCTTTATATTCCTGAATTTTACAATCCAGATCCCCGCCCTGAAACACAGCAGCATAATTTTTCATATTTTTCTTTCAGTTAAGATTTTTAAATGAAGCTCTCTCTACAACGGTTAATATACAGCAGTGACTGTTGATCACAAGAAAGTGAGGGCATACTGCCACTCTGGAACTCAGAGTCTCTCCTTGACCAACCTCTAGCCAGGCTCCTCTGAGTCCTCTTCTCAACTAGGCCTCGACCTTGGCTTATAAAGACTTGAACCAGGGTGCCTGGGTGGCTCAGTTGGTTAAGCAACTGCCTTCGGCTCAGGTCATGATCCTGGAATCCCTGGATCGAGTCCCGCATCGGGCTCCCTGTTTGGCAGGGAGCCTGCTTCTCCCTCTGACCATAACCCCTCTCATGTGCTTTCTCTCACTCTCTCTCTCAAATAAATAAATAAAATCTTAAAAAAAAAAAAAAAAAGACTTGAACCAATACTAACACACTTCTAATAGCTCAAGGCCACATCCCTAGGGTGACACTAGTCTCCCTTAAAGTGTCTGCCTGAGAAAACTTATGGCTGCCAAAAGAATTTACTGTTTGTTCCAGCCCACACCTGTCTCCTGGTATCTGTGGAAGGGTAGGGGCCTAATTTTAATTAATGCCAGTTAGCAAGCCCAGATATACATGAACCAACCCCTTTCCTACTTTTTGTAATTTTCCCCTTCCCTGACTCTGCTCAGGCCACCACCATTTTCCCCCTTCTTCCAGTCTCCCTTTTTATGGTCCAGTCATATATGCACTTATCAGAATATGTGCACAATCGGAAAGAGCTCAGCTCTTTCCCTGACTGCCAGTTACCAAATAAACTCTGTTTTCACCATCTTAAGTAATGCCCACTGTGTTTACCTTTGACATCACTCAAGGACAAAAACTCTTCTAAAGGGTTTTATTTTTATTACATTACTTAAACATTACCTAAAATTTATTTTTGTTACATTACATTACATCACATATTTACATGTACCCAAATAAAACTAAGAATGACTTTCCTTATACTTAGAATTTAATATAACTGTAGAAGCCTAACATATATACAAAGTAAAAATATAAAGCCAATAAGACTCAAATGAATAATATTAATTTAATATAAAGTGACTACATTTTGGTGAAACTATATCAGTTCTTACATTGTAAATATGGCACTGGCTGCTGGAGTTCGATTCTTTTCAGTTTGGCATGTCCACACTAACGTGTCTTAAGTCATCTTGGGATGACTTAACTCTCCTTTTGTCTATTTAACTACAGTAAAATTCCCAGGAATACAGCAACAGTTGATTTATGTGGGGTCCAAACACATCATTTAAACATTTAGTCAGTCTGTCCTCCCACTCACTGGTGATAGAAAGAATAATACTTGGTGCCAAAAATGAATCATGATCACAATGACAAACATCTAGAATTGCCTGGCAGAGTCTGATAAGACCCTTTCTGATTATGCTTATATTAATGTATTTCAACTACCATAGAAATGAATATGCAAAATGTTAAATTCTCTTAGAGAACCCCTATACCTGATCCCCTTTGCCTTAAAACACTGGACAATTAAACACAATTCCAGAAGTGCATCTCTGAAGAAAAAATGAGTGAAATGCAAGTATTTTGGTCTTTAGGGTATGCCAACAACATAGCCCCATGAGAGAAGAAAGGTACCAAGCCATATCCCTAAGGAACATAAGAGCCAAATGTTAAGCTACTTATAGGCTTCCTGACAGAGTTTTCACTGTTAAATGCAAAGGAGAAGCATTTATAGGCAATGAAACAATCAAAGGGAAATTACTTCTAACCAAACATTAGGTCAACGAACTGCTCATTTGAAATGCATTTTTTACTTCCTTTCAGTGCAATATGCAAATATTTGCCTTGAATATTCTCACCTTCCACAAGGGCACGACAAGTCAAAAATGGCATATCAAACCTTCAACTTGCACCCTAGCTCACATTCAATTTCCTGCTGGATTCTCTGGGCCAAGGAGATCAAAGCTTGTTGGAATTCAAAAATACAGTGAATCAAATATTTGACTCCTTGTCAAAAAGACTATCACTTTCTTCTCATTCCCTAAACCTACCTTTATATCCCTCCCCTCTTTTTAATCCTAGAGTTTATCAAAGTTCTGTTGGATCATTCAAGCTATACTGTCATAACGTTTCTATAAATTGCACAAAACATTTTTTGACAATATCCTGTGAAGTAGACACAAAAGCCCTTCAGATAAAAGGTGAGCTGTAAGTGTATATATTTTTCCAATCCAGGTTTCCTCTTCTGTTCAAGAGGACCTTTCTCTCTCACACAAACACAAATGCACGCACACAAATTTTAAAACAAAAACCAAGATATCTTTTCAATACCCCATTTAGATTCTCTGAATATAATAAAATAACCCCACTGTCAGAAAGATAACTATATACTATAATATTACATATTATATATGTTGCTATGTCCTTCCTGAATAGCTTCAGACGAGGAGTGATGGAAGGAAGGAAGAAGGGAAGGATGGGAGGAAGGAGGGAAGGAAGAGGGAGAGAGGAAAAGAAGAAGACATGAAAGGAAAAAAGAAAAAATTGCCTTATAGAAATATCAATGAAGCTGCTTGCTTCAACCCAATGTTTCTTACTTTAGAAAGATCATACATAAGTACAGTTGTCCCTATGAAAACAGCCTTTGCATATGTAATTGTCTACCCCAATTGTAATAACACTAAAATTTGGACAAATTCATGTATTAAAATAGCATTTTTTTCTAGAATTTATCCCCAATAAATTATAGAAATATAATTTTACACATTTGTATTAGCTTTGGTATTGTTTTCTTCGTGAGTGAGCAGAATTATGTTCTCTGTGAGTTAGTTTGCCATGATGGGAGCACACTTCCTGGGTGACATTTAGTGTTAGTCTGAAAATTACCTCCTAATGCTCTCTCCTCAAGTGGTGACTGGAACTTGCTTATCTGTTTCCTGCATTGATATTAAGTATGCATGCAATTTCCCATGACTAAATAAATAAATATAGATAGATTTATTTACATATATATATTGCTATTAAAAAAAAAAAGAGGGGTGCCTGGGTGGCTCAATTGGTTAAGTGACTGCCTTTAGATCGAGCCCCGCATCGGGCTCCCTGCTCGGCAGGAAGCCTGCTTCTCCCTCTCCCACTCAGCCTGCTTGTGTTCCTGCTCTCGCTGTCTCTCTCTCTCTGTCAATTAAATACATAAATAAAATCTTTAAAAAAATAAAAATATTTTAGTATATGTGCTGCCGAAGCGAGCACTAAAAAAATAAAAATAAAAATAAAGAAAGAACAGGGTCTTCAATAGTGGGCCTCAAAGTGAAATGTCAAAAGGAGATTACACAAATTGCCTCTTGCTCTCTGAGCAGAACCATAAGAAAGAGAAATGAACCAGATCCTAATATTAAGCAAGGAATGTGTTTAGTCGACAAGATAGACCGCCAAAAGATTAATCAGAGAGCTGGGTCTCATCCCCCTCAACTAACTGCCCCTGCAATTTTCATTTTGCACATTTATCTCTAAGAAAAATATTTGCTTTGTATTTTGTTCTTTAATAAATACTCTGTAGATTATTTTCTTAGGATTTAAATTAGGTAATCAAGTCACTCATAGATTAAGATAACAAATTACGCTTATACAACAACAAAAGAAATACAACTTTTTTGGTGAAGCAGTCTGATTTTAACTCAGTAATATGAAAAGCATTTATGACTTTCTTTCTCTAAGCCATCTTCCACGTAAAAATCAAATGTTTTTGATAAAATGTCATACCTCAGTTTAAGTTCTTATTACAATATCTATAGGTGCGTTGTTTTCTTAATTTTGTCTTTGAGAGATATTTAATGATGACTATTGCTAAAAAAAATAAGGGCCCCTGGGTGGCTCAGTCAGTTAAAGTGTCTGCCTTCGGCTCAGGTCATGATCCCAGGGTCCTGGGATTGAGTCCCGCATCAGGCTTCCTGCTCAGTGGGGAGTCTGCTTCTCCCTCTGCCCCTTTTCCCAGCTTGCGTGCTCTCTCCCTCTCAAAAATAAATAAATAAAATCTTTAAAAAAAAAACAAACTTTAGTGAAGAGTACTGACTTTGACTTAAACCATTATTAATGTTGCCGTAACTCTACACTGCTCACAGAAAACGCTTTCTTTCACTAATATCACCCTTTGAAAGTTGCAAATAAAGCTTTGATGTTAACTTCTGAAGTTCTGAAAATCTGTAACCCAAAATGTACCATTTGATGGGTTAACAGCATCTCCTCCCTCCCCCATCCCGATTAGCCAACATGAGGTTGATTTTGAAATGCCAAGACCTTGAAGAAATGAAGAACAACTCAAATACAGTGTCTAATCACCATCTTTGATTCCATTAAAGTTTTAAATCCTAAAAGCATTTAATTAAAAAAAGTTAATCCATGTTTTTTTAAGTCATCTACAGAAGCACTTACAACCAGTTTAAAAGACTAAAGTAGAGCATTCTCAGAGGCCTGGATACCATTAAATTGCAACATTCAGAGCATACACAAAGGACAAAATAATCTCAGGATTTTAGGGCTGGAAGAAGCTTGAAAAATTGTTCTGCCCTACTTCATTTTAAAATAAAAAAGCTGCCCCTTATTAATTCACTTGGTTGACATCTTAAAGTGCTGTTCTTTATACTCTATGTCACCTTTACACAAGTTTCTAATACATCCTTCCAGTGGATCTCAAATGTCAGCAGGCATCAGAATCATCCATGTTGCTTGTTTAAAAGGCATACTCCTGCACCAAATCAACAGAGACTCTGAGGACAATGGAATCTGTATTTTTTAAATTTTTTTAATAAAACAAATTGTATTTACTTAGAAGCATTCAGAATGTCAACAAAATAGTTGCAACCTTTTTTTTTTTTTTTTTTTTTGCAATTACAGAGTGGTATTTAGTTAACAGAACAGCAATAATTTTGTAGAAGCTGCATCAGAATCAACTGAAGATGAAAAAACTATCATCCCTGAGGGCACC